TGGTGTAGCCTATGTGTTCTTTCAGACTATGTTCTATACGTATGCCAAATTTAATCGAGATCCGTTCAGTCGTTCTAGAGATATCTTCAAACACCCATCCATCCACATCACATACATCTAAACATTCACATTTATAATATTAGTAAGGTAAATAAAAAGCAGCTCTTCAAGGCATAAATTCGAAAACAAATGAATAAGTAGTATCCTATGTCCGTCTCCTGGCTCTAGGCTACCACCTCACCAATTTTCAGGCATATCGGTAAAGCCGTTCTTGAGGTATAAATAGTGTAACTAACACGACTTTATTTTATATATACATACTAGCGGATCCGACAGACGTTGTCCTGTCTACACGTCTTTAATTTGAATAAATTAATATGAAGTTAATGTTTGATGAAAATTGTGAATCTAAACCATTCCCAGATCCCCTTGAACACACACAAAAAATTTCATCAAAATCGGTCCAGTCGCTTGAGAGAAGTTCAGTGACATACACACTCACAGAAGAATTATATATATGAAGATAGATGATCGATATTAACAAATGCTATGCTTTATTCTGCATTGTATATTGTATTAAAAAAGTAACAAAAATCTTGTAAAACGTCGGTCAATATAAATTAATTTTAGGGCTACTTGTTTTAAATTAAACATATATTATTTGGAGCCACTTATCTTTTTAATATATTAGTGATAGTACCTATAGTGCTTACGTCTTGACGTTATTTTTCAATAAAAGTAAATCATACAGATTTTATATTAAAGGCAAATCATTAAATCACACAACAAAGACGTTCAGTCACGTAAAAATCAAGATGATTGTGCTCACATACGACCTGTGAAGGTCCTCGCGTTTTCCTCTCATCATAAATCCTTGATAAAAAAGTTTCTAGGTCATACACAGACATTTGACAACATGATTAGAATGTATGGCGTCGCGGAAGTATTTATCTACGTGCTTGGAATATTTATATAGAATAACATCTGTTGTAACTCACTCTAACCTAATTATAGCAATTTCGAAGAGTATATTATTTAATGTCATCTATAATATAAAAATTAATCGCAAAATGTGATGGTAAGCGCATAACTCAACAACCCCTGGACCAATTTGGCCGATTCTTCTTTTAAATGTTCGTTGAAGTTCAAAGATTGTTTTTACGCCGAGAAAAATTCGAATAATTGCCGGGAAACCCTCTAGGAACTTTTCTTTAATCCCGCGCGGACATGGTCTCGTCCGACAGCTACTTGTAAATAAAAGGTATTTATTTATTCCTTACGACAACGTTGTAGTTTTTGTCTTCTATATAAATTTTGTATGTAGTTGGTTGGATATAGTTGGTAGGTAGTAGATAGTTGGTTGGTCCTTTTATTGTTTAAATTTCCTTTTTCTCTAATTTCAGTAAGCACCGGCTACGAATCAGATCGGGAAGAATGGAGAAACAGCCGTTCCCAGTTCTCTACCACAGCTTTCGACAGTCTAGCTAGACCAACGAAAATGGCAATGGCATTAACACTAAGGAAGCCTCAGAGAATAGATCCAACTCCACAGTATTACCGTCTATCCAGCGAACCGAAGCCAAAACTTACCCCATTACCTTTCAGACCGAATAACTTTTTGCAACGAGCACCCAGGTTACCACGACCGAGTTCAGAAATAAAAAGAAATTTGAGTACGGATCATAGGAAATATACATCGCTACAGAGTTTAGAATTACCTAAGAAATTAAGTGAACCGAAGAAAAATGATCCTAAGAAGAATTACACAAACTTATCGAATAGGATTACGGGATTGACGAATAAATTGCGAGATTTAGGAGCAACTAGTAACACTATAGGGAGGTTCAAAGCTCAGTCCCACGGGGATGTTGCAAATCTTAAACCAGTATTAAAGAACAACGTTCAAGATGGAAGTAAACGTTCAGTTGTTAGGACGTGCAGCGTTGAACCACCAAAGAAAGTTACTTTCAGCGCATTTGCTACCGTCCAAGTTGTATAAATTTCCTAATTTTAATTAATCTTGATAATAATCTGCATTTTCTTCTTGTATTAATCTTGTGTTCTGTATATTTTAATTGTGGGTATTAATTTAAAATAATTAGTTTTAATCTGCAAACAATATTATATTTGATTGGAAAATACTTATTTTAGATTTTATTTTATAATATTGAGAAAGGGCCGGGATTTCTGTGTAAATAACATTTTTTGCTTTTATAATAAAAACCTCTTAAACGAATTGTTAGCTATAAGAAAATACCCATTAATGTTGTTTTTATGTCTTAAATTTATGCTTTTTCTTTATGATTTTGCACGCATATGAATTACACGCATTTTCCTCAATGACTTACCAAATAATGTTATTATATTGGAAAAAGTCACTTTTTATTTTCTGCACGCACTGTAAGACATCACATATTTAGCAAGCACTGAATTAATTTTTAATTTTAAAAATATAAACGGAGCGATTATTTTGTCTAATCGATTAATCTTTTATTATATTACATCTGAAAAAATATTAAAAGTCTTGAGGGGTCGGTGAAGATATGATTTGGAATCAGTCTGGTATTTCTCTCACATTTTTTACATCGAAATACTTTTATCAAACATATATATGCATCCCTCTCGTTGTCTTTGAAGAACAGAGATAAGAGTATGTTTTAATAAAGTGTTTTGACTCTGAAAAGTCACGTTAAAAAAACATAAATCTGAACACTGGGTTGTCTTCACGGGCCAAAGAGTTAAGGGTTGTCAGGGCACTGGACCCTGAGGAAGCCTGGCCATTGAACATACTTGTAGAAGGTCAGGATGGTGGCTTTAAGACCAAAAAAGAATTCGATTAGACAAAATGGCCGTCAGCGATTCCGCATTTAAAATTTCTGTTATTTTGAATCTGAACTGACAGTTGTGAACTTCCGCTTGCCCGATGCAAAGGATATACAACGCTTGCGATGTCATACATAGTCCGATTAATTTGTCTGACCCGGTGGGTATAAAAACTTAAGTACATTACTCACCTAAAAGTTTGTAAGTAAAGTACACAGAGCTTCCCACTGTTAATAGGAAAAAATACCACTAAATATCTTACTGCAGCTATCCTGTCTTATCTTGTGTATAATTTTCTTTGCTTAGATATTTTTTACATTATTTTCTGAGCTAAGCGCGATAACAGCGCCCCTTTCACCGGGCCAGATTAGTTTGTCGGACAACAAATTACGAAATGCCACCAATCTTTGTTAGATTGCTGTCGGTCAGTTTCAGGTGATGATAGAAATTAAATAGGAATTAATTTATTGTTATTTATTTATTCGATACGAATATTTATCATAAACAATAACAAAACGAAGAATACATAATAAAATATTTTTTTTTATTCATTATTAAGTAGATAAAAGTTTACGTTAAAACTATTCTATTATTCAAATAAACACATGTTTTTAATCATTAATTTTATTAAAATATAAACACATATTAAAATCTAAATAATTTTCAATAATTCTTTTCGAAATTTACTATATAATTCCCTAATTTTTATATTTTCTAACCTCAATTACATCCGTCATATTTAAATTATATTTTTTTTAATCTATGTATATTTCATGTCATTTCTAGTCGTCCTATCTAATTTTTGTCCTAACTTAAATATTATTGTATCACGTTTTCTTTATTATTATTAAATATAACGTCTTATTTTATATTTCTTATTATCTCTAGCAAATTTTCTTATTTATAATTTCAATGATTCAAACTTTGAACTTAGCGAATAATAACATATGCCATAGATAACCTATAAAGATAAAAAATGTTAAAATCTTATGGCGGGAAATATTCTTTGATTATTTTTTTATAATATACTTTTAATTTATATTTGTTATATAATCTATATGTATAGTCTGACCAGGAATAAAAAATACCATAGTGCGGAAAAAGATGTAAGTATTTTTTTTACAATATAAAGTGTGATGATTTTCATATTCTTGGTTACGCTATACGTGTGATGTATATTTTATTTATCTTAAAGTAATAAAATAATGTATATTTGATTCTTATCCTAAGGAAAAGTCATAGTTATTGTCACTGTATTCTATCGTAGATTAAAAAACTTGATTAGATTTTTTTTTAAATATAGCTTAATTACGGTTTAAATATTTTAATGATTTATTATGTTGTTGTTTATTCTTGATTTAAATGTTTGAAAATTAATAAAATGTTTGTTAATCTATGAGTTTATTTTTTATCTGTACAGCTTTATTAATTATTTCTTAAAACATTTTTTGAACAAATTATTTGGATTGTTATTTTTTTTAATTCATAAATATAAGCTTGCTTTTATATCCCATAAATATAAACTTTAAAAAATATGAGATCCAGTATATTTTAAATGACCAATACTGTTCTCGAACAATCTAGTATTGGGTCGCTGCGAAATAAACCATTTCGTATAAGTTGTGATATTTTGTACCAATATTTTGGACTTTAGAGTTTATGGAATTAAGGAATATGAAGCAAAAAAGCTAAACCGTGTTATTCAGCTGTGCATAATCTTACTTCTTACTAATATTAAAAATGCGAATGTTTAGATGGATGGACAGATGGATGATTGTTTAAAGGTATCTCCGGAACGGCTCAACGGATCTTGATGGAATTTGGCATAGATGTAGAACATAGTCTGGAAGAACATATAACTCATAAAGTTTTTTTTTATTCCGCGCAGGCAGAGTCACGGGCGACAGCTAGTATTCCAATAAAAAATCTTAACTAAAATCCACGTCGTAATAACAAGAATTTCAAATTGTTCTCTAACTGTGAAATTCCATAGACATTTTAATACTTATCTCTTTCATTTCTTTTGACAAAAAAGAGACGGCAATATCAATACAAGTGTCACGAGATTCGAATCTATTTTTGATTATTCTTTACGTTGTTTACCTTTTATAATTATAATTAAAGTAATCAAATATTATCCAATATTGAACACGCGTGAACAAATGTTGTTTTAAGATAAATAATTTTATGATAACCTAAACATGTAACGTTGTAATAAAAAAATTCGCGAAGTGTTACCATAAAATAGCTCAGTTTCTTCTCGGTGGCCGTCTGCGACGAACGTAAAGGTAAGAGTTTTAGCTATTGACTATAGTACATTATCGATTTACCAAATTTATTAATAAATCGACTATTGTAATAAAATATTAAAAAATATTAGCTTCCGATTTATTTGTTTTTAATATTTTTTTTAAATTTTGAATTATTTTTGATAATAATAAATACATCTTAATTAGATTAGATTAATATTAAAGGTCATTAACAAAAAAACAATCAACGATAAAATTATTGATTTCGTTACCTAACCAGTTTGAAATATTGTTGCACAAACTGGTTACTCGAGGAAATTTCTAGAAATAATAACTATAATATTTTTACAGCACAATGTCTGTTAAGAACGCATTTGAGACGAGCAAGATAGTTCCTGATGTCATCCCAACCGCACCAACAGCTCTCATTGGGGTAAGAAATATTAAGATTTTTTTTTAATTTATTTATTTTTCACGTGTGCATACGGAATTGAAATTTAAGTTAGATATTATGATTCCTGAAAACCTAGTGGTATTACTAAAAACATATTAAAATATTAGAAATGAAGCGTTAGTATTATGCAACCTTAAGGTTGCTTCAAATTTTTTTTACGTTAAAAGACGTTATAACTCTCCTTTATGTTTAAGTATAATTTCGCAAAATAGAAGAATTAATCTATAGGTATAAAAATAATAACAAAATTATTATTAATGTCATTCGAAACATGATTTTATTTAATGAAACAATCTTAATTCTGCAAGATATTGTCATTATTCCATATCTAGTCAGGAATCAATTTAGTAGGAACTCGTAAATTGACGTAACAAACTGATACGCTTAAGTATTTTTGATTGTTATGGACTCATGAATTGACACTTGCCTTATTTATAAAACAAATAGCTGTTGCCCGCGACTCTATCCGCGTGGAATTAAAAAAAACATAATTAGTAGTCTATGTATTCATACAGACTATGTCTATATGTATACCAAACATCCCGATCCGTTCACCGGTCTGGAGATAGCTTTAAACAAACATCCATCCATCCATTCAAACATTCGCATTTATAATATTAGTAAGATATTTACGATAGTGTTAACTTAGGAGTCAGACTTATATAGAAACAAAATTATGTTTGAAATTAAATTAATACGTCTGAATTGCAAAAGGTTGAGTATCGATGTTGCCATTTACATCAGTGAAAATTTAAATGGAAACTTTTTTTGCATTTTATGTTGATTATAAAAACGTAAACATAATTCTAATTTTTCTCCTTACTATATCAGCAACATAATCTTTTAGTTATTCGATTGATTATTATCTTTTGATAAAAGCAATTATTAATTGACGCGGTATTAACAAAATCTCCAAATGTTTGCAATTTCTGATAAAATTTGTTCATAAAAAAAATATCGTAGACGTTTGGGATTAAGATTTCAATTCGACACTCAATCAATTTTTTATATCACACATTAATTATAAATAATGATAAAATTCTTACACGTTTCAGTTTTAACAAAACAAAAGTGACAATACAAAAATAACTATTAATCTTATCGTATAGTATGTCTCGATTTTTTTGACATGTAAAAATACAGATAAAAATTTCTCGTAATTATTGTGAAATTAAATTTACATTTTTGAACGAAAATGTCTCAAATATTTTATCAAAATAATAATTAAATGTATATGTAAACATCGCCTACGAATCAAGATGGCGGCTAACGCGGGAAAACAATAAGATATCTGTCAAGGTTAATCGATTATTGTTAATGAAATTACGTAACTATTTAAGTAGCAATTTATTGGTTTTGAAATTTGTAATAAATATATTATGATAAAACACCAAAAAGCTATAAAATAAGTATTGTTCCATATCTCTGTTAAACCGTTCGTAGTAAAAACGGTTATTTTTATTCAGTTCTTTTTGAACGTTAATGTAAGTTACGTTTTGATTATCTTGGTTCATGCTTTACGATAAAATCGTGAATTGTAACTCGTAACATATTTATGAAAATATTAATATTTGATTTTCTTTTGTTGACAATATTATTAATAAAAGATACGACAGTGGATACTGTTACACGTCTTTAGAATTGAATTTATAGGTTAGTTTATTAAGTTCATTTCTTAATATTACAGTTGAACTACCAAAGTGGCGCGGTCGCGAACCTGGGCAATGAATTGGCCCCTACAGTGGTGAAGGACCAGCCCACAGTCACCTATGACGCTGACCCTAGCGCCTACTACACTCTCGTCTTCACCGGTATGTTGTAAAAAGACAAACTCATGCTAAAATACTAAGTACCGTGACAACTAATTTCTATAGATAGGCAAATGCTTGGAAATAGCAACGTTTGCTTCGTTCCGGCTTAAATGCGTTTATTTAAGTTCTTGACAATTATTTCTAACGCTACTATTAGTTCGAGTCCTCACTATTCATGTCAGCTTCAAAATGGCGATAATCGAATAGTCACAAAATAGCACGGTTTATAGCCTGTCTATGTCATTGACCTCTAGTAGCCATGGCTTAAAATGTGTTTATTTTTTTAATTGATTTAGCACTCTTATTCTTTGATAATTCCAGACCCGGATAATTACGATGGTCCTGAACCGGTCTACCGTGAGTGGCACCACTGGCTTGTCGGTAACATCCCCGGTAACAAAGTAGACCAGGGCGAGGTCCTGTCCGGGTACATTGGTTCCGGACCACCGGAAGGCACTGGTATTCACAGATACGTCTACATCTTGTACAAACAACCCGGAAAAATCGACTTTGATGAGACCAGATTGACCAACAAGTTAGTATATTCATTTTATTAAATTAAAAATATAGAAATTTAATATATATTTTAAAGCGACATCTATTTTTAGTATGCAAAAAAAAACAGAATTTAATGCCAAAATGGTTGAGTAATTTTTAATGTGGACATTTAAATTTTAAAATTAAAATGTTTTGGTACTTTGGATATTTATAAATTTGAAATCTTAGATTTATAAAATAAAAAAAAATATTGCTTATTTTCATAATTGGATTGTTTTTTTTAATATTTTTTTGCAAACTATTTTACCCAGTTATTTCTATCAGGTCTATCGACGGTCGCGCCGCTTTCTCCACCAAGAAGTTCGCTGAGAAGTACAACTTGGGAGCGCCAGTCGCCGGCAACTTCTACCGCGCACAGTTTGACGACTACGTACCTCTGTTGTACAAGAGCTTGGGTGTTTAATTCTTAATAAAATACAAAGTTATCAGGCTTTTGAGGTGCCATTATATATGTAAAATCCATTTTCCTATTAGCTTCCATGGTCAGTCGAATTACGTCATAATAACTAACTTCGGACTCCAGGACATGACAGCTGACAAGGATCGTGTGACACTTTTTTGACATCTGTCAGATAATTTTCGCAGAATACTTACCTGTTTCCAATGAAATCCTTTTTCTTCGAACTTTTTTTAATATATCTAAAATCTGTGCCGTTTTGAGTATTCCGATTTTGGAAATATTCGACTATATCCAATTCTGTAACTCTGATTGGATGGTTTACCTCTGTTTATCTCTGCAATAAAACTAGACATTCAGAAAAATCTCATTTTCTTGTTTTTCTATAAACATTTAAGTGAATAAATTATTTACAAATAATTTGTTTTTTTTTAACCGACTACAAAAGGAGGTTCTCAGTACCCCTATACATTTATACTTCGTAACTCTACTGGTTTTCCAATTTTCATATATTTTTTTTTCGAATGGTGTTGCCTGTACCATTTTTAATTTAAAAAGTATTCATAGTTTTTATTTTAACATATCTGATAAAGAACCTTAAATATCTTTAAATGAGCAATTCTTGTATATTATATACAAGAATAGCTTATATCACGATTCCGAGATTAACGCTCCAACGATTTTCATAAAATTTAGTATATAGGGGGTTTCGGGGGCCATAAATCGATCTAGCTAGGAATCATTTTTAGAAAATGCCATTTTATTCGTGTTTTATCGATAATAAACATAAACTTAACTTTTTCTATCGGTAAGAACGAAAAATATTATTTATATTTCATCATTTTATTAGTAATTCGTACTTAAATATAATTTCCAAAAAACACAATTTAAAAAAAAAACCGGTCATCCAGGTACTAAATTATTAATTTTATAAATGTAACCACAGCAACTGTTAGAAAATGTAAAATAAAACTATAAGATCGGATACAATGATATATTTGAAACTCTAAACAACTTCACTTACAATCTAAACGCAAATAAACACAAAGGAAATACAAAAACAACTGATTACATCAATTGAAATGCAATATTTAAAATGGCGATCTACACAATTATTAAAGGATATTCAATCTTTGATATCATATTCCTATGGTTCGCAAAATACTATTCCTCAGTTACAACGCCATCTGTTGATCAGAATTGCAGTTTGAAAGCTAATTTATTTCAGTCTTAGCTGACTACGCGTGGGGAGCGCACGTGTCTAGTTGCCGAGCTGTTTGTACAGTAAGGGCACATAATCGTCGTACTTCGCCTGGAAGAAGTTGCCAGCGATCGGGATGCCAAGGTTGTATTTAGTTGCAAATTTGTTGATGGAGAATTTAGCACGACCCTTGTCCGATCTGAAATTAAAAAAAAATAACTAACGGTAAAATTAAAAGGGTTCAGTATTCTTCCATTTTAAAATGATACTAATTATAGCTATCTGAGTGCCTGATTTAAAATCACTTTAAGATTAGAATGAGGTGGTGTAAATAAAAAAAATGCTATGTAAATAAAAACAGGCGCTTATAAGTAGAACATGTAAAATAACTCTTATATTAAAAGTTAGGTTACGGTACTCAAGTATTTAAAAATCATGTGTTAGGTTAAAATACTTTATTTTTTTAGACTGTTAGGTTGTTAAGTGACTCAATTGCTTCCTCTGGAGGCTGGCTAGTATAGATAAATGTGACTTATGAAAGATATGCTTAGAATGGGGGTATGAGATATGACGGCTCAAAGAGGCTTAAAGGATTAGGGATAAGAGCAGTTTCATAATTGAGATAAATAACTCACGTGTTGGGCAGACGTGGCTCATCAAATGTCAGTTTGCCTGGCTGCTTGTACACGAGGAAGACGTATCTGTGCAGGCCTGTGTCCGGCGGCGGGCCGGCGCCCACGTACGCGGAGAGCACCTCGCCCGAGGACACGTCGCTGCCGACCACGTTACCCACCAGCCAGTGATGCCACTCGCGGAATGTTGGCTCCTTACGCGACGGCGCATCGGGATCTAGAATTTATAGCCCGTGACGTCATATATGTCGCTAATAAAGGCCATGTAGTAAGTAACGATGTCTTCATAGCTGACATTGGAATTGATAGTAACAGCACTCTGTTACAGCTCACTGTACGTACCCACCGAGGAGCTTGGAGCCTATCCTATTTTGTGCTGTCACAGTTCGGGTTGACTTCACATATATGTTTGAATTTCTTTGCAGAAATGTATTTGTATTCACGATGTTTTCCTTCACCGTAAGAAACGTCAGACAAAGACAGCGTTTAATCAAAGAAGTGTTAATTGGTCACAAGTCTCTGGGTGTAGTATATGCAGGGGCTTCTAGAGAGAAGCACTACGTGGTTTGTAAACACTAATGTCTTCAATGCTACCCATAGACTGGCTGCTAACTTAAATTAAAACTGTAAGTTATTTTCACCTGTCATGGCAACCGTATAGAAGGTGTTTGGCTCGGCGTCCCATTTCAAAGTGGGCTGGTCCTTCACTTGAGTCGGTGTTAGTTCATTGCCTTCTTTAGCCTCCACGCCACTGGGGTAGTTCACCTGAAAGAAACAAAAGCAAATTATAACTAGCCAACCAAATCATATATTATACAAAATTTCATAGAAATTAATAGGCCCGGTTTCTAAATATATAATTTTAATATCGTTTAATTTAAATTTAACTCGACATAAATATTATTAATATGATAAGACCTAATTAAAAAATACTTGACTAAATCATTAACAAACGATTCTAATGCTTGGTTTACATTATGCCAGTAGCGTAGCTGGCTTCGCATAAACTTTTGGTTTACTGGCGCCAGTGAGTGTTTACATTATGCCAGTGCTGATTATGAGCGCTACTATCCTACTGCACTGGCGTTATGTAAACGAGGCATAATAGAGCTAAGAAAAATGACTCCCTACTTTTAAATAGCAGGAAAAAGGAAAAGGTAATCGTATTAATCTTTCAAACCACCATAATTACCCAATAATAGGATCATTCTAGATTATCATCTTTCAAAGGAAATTGTCATCCCGATGTTTCTAGAAACAACAGGTTCATGTTTCGAGTCTCACGGTGACACAGTTTACTGGATCTTGTTAACCTTCTCTCAAAAGATAACACGAATACATAACTGCGGGTTACTGACTCACATTCGAATATATTGCCATCTCTTTTTTTCTAATGGAAAAAGTTGAAATAACTACATGAATGGGTGACTCAAATTAAATGAAAAATTATTTTCACGAAATTATTCGAATTCAACTTTGTTACGTAGTATAGTGCACTAATTTATTAATTACACTAATTACTACTAAGACTGCTAGAAAAACTAATATTTTTTAATCCCGCGCGGTCGAAGTCGCGGGTGATAGCTAGTAGTATATATACCTCATAAGTTGAAATGAACACTATAATAGTATAATAATTTGTTGGATTAATGAGGTGTAAATAATAAGAGGAATTCATACAGGTGTAGAGTGTATCAGCCTATTAAATAAAATGATATTGCGATATACACGACAATCAACTTATAATCAAGGACTATATCCATCCATCACATCAACAAAGTAACTTAAATTGTATGTCAAAAGAAAATAACATATTATTATTACTTTTGTTAGGAAGAAAATCCGACACTGTGCCGGTGTACTGGCACAACACTAGACTTACTAAAATGTCAACGTTTATGTCCCCTCACTAATCATTCTGACACTTGACTTTGTAACGAAAGCGCGCCATTCGCGTCAAAGGATTCTTAATAATGTCTAAAACTTTTACTATAATAATAATAATACGAAAGTTTGTTTGCACGTATGTATCTTACAAGGTATCTCCGGAATGGCTCAACGGATATCAATGTAATTTGGCACAGATGCAAAACAGTCTAATAGGCTATTATAATATATATTTCTTTAAGTCCGCGAGGACGGAGTCGCATGCGACAGCTAGTTATGTATAATTTTCTTTTAATAAAGAGAATATTATGACTAAGAATTTTTCCGTTATGACAACTGTTTGTATGTATTTCAATTCTATTGTAACCTATTAGGTATATCTAGTCTTAAGTAATAACTAAATCAATTATCGTTAGTATAAATAACGTCGTCCCTCTCATTATCTTTGACAAAATAGAGATAGAAATGTTTTTCATGCTTTTGATATGCATCAACGATAAATCAGTTTAACTTCTATTATGTTCCAATTTAAAATAATTGAAAACTCGATTCATGCATAGAAATTATCGATTCTCAAATGGTACGAAATTTCCAAACGAGTATAACATTTGTTACTTCCGTTCATACAATCTCTCCACTTTCTCCGTTCGCAAACGTAAACTTACGTAAGTCTATCCAAAAATGATACTAAAATTTATTGCTATTATCACGTGTACTAATATAATAAATGCTAATGTTGAGATGGATGGATGTTTGAAATTATATACGGAACTACTGAAGTGATCTTGCTGAAACTTGGCATAGATGTAGAACATAGTCTGAAAGAACACATAGGCTTTTTATTAATTTTTTTTTTAATTCCGCGTGACAAATCGGGCGACAGTTATTGATAATACTCCGTGTTGTAGAAACGAAGTACAGTTGACATCTCAAAGATGCGTTTAAAAACAATAAGATTGGAAACAAGATTATTGACATGATTGGTGGCTATTTTAACGCGACTCAAATGTATTGGTTTACTTAAAAAAACGTTATATAAAGCTGATACATAGACATCAACACCAAACAAGTTTACCGATAAAAATAATTGTAGGTACCAAAAATAATCTCAAACTCGTTTGGATGTTTTAAGAATACTTTTATTATGTGAATAAAAATTCTTCAAAAACAATCTCTCTGGCAAAATAAAAACACGATTTGCTTATTTAAACATGTTCACGGTCCCGTACATTTTATCAGATTTCTATACTATACTGGCTGTCGCCTAAAAAACTTAATATGATATGTATAATATATATAATAAAAACCACTCTTCAAGGCATAAATTCGAAAAAATAAATGAATAAATAGTATCCTATGTCCGTCTCCTGGCTCTAAGCTACCTCCTCACCAATTTTCAGCCATATCGGTAAAGCAGTTCTTGAGTTATAAATAGTGCAACTAACACGAATTTCTTTTATATATATTATATATAGATTTGTTTAAAGAAATATATAAATCGGTACAATTAAATACATTATTTCAAACCTACATGTTTATATTTTAGTTTCCAGTTGTATGTGGGAGCTAAGATGACGGTAACTCATTTCTAATTAATTTTATTCCAAAATTAAAAAAAAAAAAACTTACCTTAACTAGCGCGGCAGGGGCGACAGGAATAACATCGGGCACCACAGCATTCTCAGCAAAGGACTTCGCGACGGTCGACATCCCTCTAGCTAACACCCTAAAATTGACCATGCCGACAGCTAGTAACAAAACAATCACACATCTCAACATTTGCCCCATTATAATGTGGGACGAACAGATGCACACGACTGTACTAAACGAAAGTGGAAACACATATGCGGCGAAATATAAGCGCCGTGTGTTTAAATAGCAGCATTTGTTAACACAACATTGAAAACCTACCTACTCATTTTTGTTGCAGTCATTTTGTAAAATGCATCTTATTAAAAAATGACTAATTACGAATGAGATATATCGTAAGCTATGTTACTTTACTAGGTAGATAAAAAACCTTAAGGTTAGAATATCTTTAAAATAAAACTGTGTGATAGTCATTTGAAAGTCTATAATTTAAAGTATATAACAGACTAGATAAAATGTTTGGATTTTATTTGCCAAATAAAGTTGTTGGCTTTTCATAATTTCAAAATAAGCTGTGAAATACTGTTCACAGAAAATATTATGTATCAGTTAATTTATTTTTTTGTAAGTTATCTTGCACTTGGACATTGTGAAACAGATCTTTACTGTAGTAAATAATGTAACAAGAATGAACACAAGGTTTGTGTCATGTAATAAAGCTATAGCCTAGACATTTTGAACTTTGGCAAATTTTACAATATATCCACAACTTTCATTATGATATTAATTTGATGTTGAGATGTTTTTTATGTTTGTAAGTTGTTTATTTACTAAAAGATTAACAGAATCACCTACGTCAATTTAATGCAGTGAAAATAGCAGAGGCAGTAAAGTTTAATAACCAAAACAAATATAGCTGCGCAGATTAAATATAGGATTTTATTACTATGAAAAATAATTTGTTTTATAAACAAAAAATTATACCATGAAAGTATTAAAAAGATTACAATTTTTACTGTAGAATTCCACGGAAATAATGTTAATAAAAATTCAATTCTATCATGTCTAAACTATTTACTGCTTCTGTGTAGTTTCCAATTCTCTGTGATTGGAATGTGATAGTTGGTGTTCATATTATGTCAACATCATTGTCATCCGAGGCTAAATATTGGCAATTGTTTTCAGTTGCATTTGGCTTTATTAGAATCAGTATATATGCAAGTAGTCTGTTGAAAGAAAATGTGGGACAAACAGTATTCTCCCCAAAAATAGTCTGGTGAATGATATACAATGAAATTGACTTGTTTTGTGTTTTATTTTTATTTTCTTTCAAAGAAATTAAGCATTTTTTGGTTTGTAATGCTAATTGGTTAATTTATATTGCAATAATTTAATTAACATTGTGTTATCGGCTTTGACAATGTTTGACTTTTTTTACCAAAAAATATATAATTTTGTATAGGAGTTTGGCAGAAGACTGTTATGGTAAGGAGTAATGAAAGTAACTTAGTTTCTGTTAAATTTATAAGCGGCGAATGTGTTCAAATACTTTTTAGACATTTCCAACAATATTCTAAAAGTTTTGACTTTTGAGGGTACATTGCTAAAAAGGCAAGATGTTAGTAAAATTACATGATAAATGACATACATATTAACACAATATGCAATCCCAAGGAGCCGTTGGATGTTTTCCGACGACATATACTAAACCAGTCTGTAATATCAAAAGCCGGTTCGTTAAATGCACATAATTTGTAAAAAAAATCGTGCAAATGAGAGGTACATATCATTTATGATGCAATCTGGGCATATATTCAATATGCAATGTTACCAAATTATATTATAACGATAAAACGGAATAGGAATGTTTGGCAGTGTACCAAATATTGATTACCAAAGTGCCGGTATTCTGACATTTTTAGGTTACATCTTTCAATCAATATTTGGGTATTATTCTGATCTCTGGCATAAAATATCAATTTACGTTACATACAGATGGAATATTATCCTTTAAAAACATCTATTACATAAGTATTAAAATACATTCTTCATGTAACACAGGCATTCGCGATTCAGATAATACTTGAAACTACATATTACATACAATGGATATGCTTCTGATAAAAATTTCTTACCTTAAAATGAGAGTAAAATCTGAAAAACTAGACAGGTATCGTGTAAAACGAATGTAAAACTTGATAAGGTTAAGAAAAGGAAAAGTCTAGAAATTGATAAGACAAAGACAACAATATACAGGCCCAAGTTATCACAACTCAAGTTGACATAAAGAGTACATAGGATTGGGTGATCGAGGGAGGCTGAGAGTAGGCTGGGTTGTAATTGAACCCTGTATACTGATGTACAGTGTAACTAAACTGGGATAAAATCTGTTTTGGAATCATGTATTTATTTTTGACGAATTTATGCTGTTTGCAAAAACAAAATCTCTGTAATAATATTTGGTTCACAGCGTTTATATGCTTTTTTGATGAAGTGTCATTTCTATTTTAATTAGTCTTTGTTGTTTGCTTCCTTGCTCCAAAGTAATGAACATTTTCCAAATAAGATATGACCTAAAGGTCTATGTTACCAGGTCATAAAATTAAAAAAAACCTGCTTCCTTTCCTGTCAATGTCAAACAAAAGTGATTATTTTCGATACTTGCCTACTTCTGCGTGATATTTTAAATTTTTTGCTTTAATTACCTTAAGTATATATTAAATTGTAACTAAACTATCATGTCTTCATATCAAATATATTCATTATTACGTAAGTGGAAGAAAAAATGAAAAGTAAATCATGTTAGGTGATATTCAACTGACAAAGCGTTTAATAGTTATTGCATTGGTTCTTAGCGTTATTTTAATTTTGAAAGAGTACGTATTCGACTTTTCAATATGAGTCAGTCTCGGGTGGCATATTTTTACAATGCGGACGTAGGAAATTTCCACTATGGTCCTGGTCATCCAATGAAGCCACATAGGCTAGCAGTGACACATAGTCTTGTGTTACATTATGGTCTTCATAAGAAAATGCAGATATACAAACCTTACCAGGCCAACGCACATGATATGTGCCGGTTTCACAGTGAAGATTACATAGAATTCTTGCAAAATGTCACACCACAGAATATTCAAAGTATGTACATTTTATTACTAAACTATATATATTGCTATTTACTCACTAGTTTATTGGGTCCTGAATAAGACAGTCTCATTCTCATTATTGTTAGTCAATTTCTACTGCAAAAACATAAAGTTACAATAGAACAAGCAGGTTGTAACTAAAAGCACAAATTCTGGCTGAATGCCTTATAAACAATACAGTATCAGTCATAAAGGCTATTGGTTATTACAACGCCAATTTGTGTACCCAGTTGGCTACTTACAAACACTTAAAAGTAAAAATAAATAAAAAATTTCTATTTCAGCATATTCTAAAGACTTACTTCACTACAATGTAGGTGATGATTGTCCAGTATTTGAAGGTCTGTTTGATTTCTGCTCAATGTACACCGGTGCATCTTTAGAAGGTGCCATGAAGTTAAACAATAATGTATGCGATATTGCAATTAATTGGTCTGGTGGATTACATCATGCAAAGAAATTTGAACCTTCCGGTAAGTATATTAATACTAGAAAAAAATTAATTCATAATAGCTTGATAATAAACCCCAGTAGGATATTAATGTGCTTTCTTATTATAAACTTCTCTTTAACCCCTTGGGTACGGATTTATTTGACAAAATATTTGTATGTGGAATGGAAACAATTTTATTAAAAGTTTAATTTTTGGTTTGACTTCTTAGACATGACATCCAGTCTTAGGGGAAAAAAGTGAATGTCGTGTCTCAGACGTCAAATGTACCCAAGGGGTTAATAATGCAAATATATGAAAAGAACTTCCTGTTGAGTGCTTTCTTCACAGTATTAAAACACTTAGTAAGTAGACTGTTCTTCCAGACTATTGTTTTTTCTACATTTTACAGTTGTACCTAATTTCACCTACATCTGTCAAGCTATTTGGGAGATGACTTCTAACAAACAAACATCCATCCAACCTTTTGCATTTATAATATTAATAAGATAGATATTATTTGCCTAAAGACTTATTGAGGGTATACTTTGGCAATTTACATATAGCATATCTCATTTTACCATCATGCTTAAATTTTTTTGAATTAACCAATTCTTGTACCCTCTTATATCATTATCTCTTATGTAACATGTTGTAAATGTGAATGTAAATTTTCCAGGTTTCTGCTATGTAAATGATATTGTTATAGCAATATTAGAATTACTAAAGCACCATCCTCGTGTATTATACATTGATATTGATGTCCATCATGGAGACGGAGTGCAAGAAGCATTCTATTTAACTGATAGGGTGATGACAGTTAGCTTCCATAAGTATGGAAACTATTTCTTCCCGGGTACAGGAGATATGTATGAAATTGGAGCGGAAAGTGGAAGATATTTCTCCGTAAATGTACCATTGAAGGAAGGTATAGATGATCAGAGTTATGTACAAGTAAGTAGATTATTTACTCAAATCGTTTTTTTTTGTATCAGGGTTTTATTGTTTTGTGGTGTTGCCTTACTATAAATATTTTTTAAAACAAAATTTATAACTTGAGAGCCAATATTATTATTTTTTTTATCTATGTTGGTGCCTATCCACCTCTTGAGTTGATCTTTTAAAAGTTCATGGCCCAAATAAATGCAGCAAAGACCTCTTTTGAGATAAATTATTTTTTTCTATAGTATTTTAAGCTTAGGTAATGAACTTTGTGCATAAATCATGATTTTCTCTAATGTAAACATTCTTTATATCATATATGTTATTTTTTTCAGGTATTCAAACCTGTGATATCAAATGTGATGGAGTTTTACCGTCCTACTGCTATAGTATTACAATGTGGGGCTGATTCCCTAGCAGGAGATCGTCTCGGTTGCTTCTCGTTGTCCACAAGAGGTCACGGTGAATGTGTCAAGTTTGTGAAAAATTTAAATGTACCTACATTAGTTGTAGGTGGAGGAGGGTAAGTGAAAGTTACAGTAAGTTTGAATTATTAACTAAATTAGTAAGGAAATAATGTAAGTTTATTGAACAGTCAAATATTTAAACAATAGATATAATAAAGTTAACACAATGAATGTGACAAACTTTAGGCTAAGTGCTTTCTTTGTCTAGACACCTCAAATCCGACGAAAAATGTTTTTTTAAGGCAAAAAATTAACTATTTATTATCTATGCAGATTTGGATTCTTTATATAGTTTTCTTATTCCATTTAAGATTAATAAAGCTTATAATAACATAATTTATAAACATGTATGTGAAATTCTTTTAGCTATACATTGAGAAATGTTGCCAGATGTTGGACGTATGAAACCTCATTGTTGGTTGATGAGAATATATCAAATGAACTACCATATACAGAGTATTTGGAGTTCTTTGCGCCAGATTTTCAGTTGCATCCTGAAATCACCAGGTATTGTGAAATATTCATACAATCATCCCTCCAACACACACAAACACATACTGTAAAAATTAGAACCTCTTAAGCTAGGTTAAGACCTAGGTTAAGAGAAAGCAGTACCTTCTGTAACACAGGTCCTACCATAGGAGCCTAAGGAATTGCAAAATTTTGTCGATTAATAAAGATTTTTTTTTATTTTATTATATAATTATATTCACATACATATAATTTGTGTTTTTATTAAAATGTTTATTATTGTATCCAAATTTAGTTACATAGACTGAACAATAAAACTACAGAGAAAAAACTATATATAAAGAGATTAGAAATATTTTTTTATAAGTTACTAGCTGTCGCCCGCGACGTCCGTCCGCGTGGATATATAAAAAAACTTAATTCGTGTAGCTTATGAGTTCTTTCAGACTATATTTACGTATACAGACTATATGCCAAATTTAATCGAGATCCGTTCAGCCGTTCTAGAGATACCTTCAAACACCCATCCGTCCATCCACATCACATCCATCTAAATATTCGCATTTATAATATAAGTAAGTTGAAAAAAAATCGAAATAAAAAGAATAAATAGTATCCTATGTCCGTCTCCTGGCTCTAAGCTACCTCTTCACCAATTTTCAACCAAATCGGTAAAGCCGTTCTTGAGTTATAAATAGTGTAACTAACACAACTTTCTTTTATATATATAGATATTTTTGTATAATTGGAAAATATTGAATATAATAATTTTAATACATAATAAAAATATGAATGTAATATTCCAGGCCTGATAACACAACAAATGCGAACAGCAAGCAATATTTGGAGGCCATCACTAAGTATGTGTATGACAACCTAAAAATGTGTCAACATTCCCCTGCTGTTCAGATGTCACATATACCAGGTAAAATCATTTTTAATTGACTCATTTTTGACAAAGTAGAGAGAATTTGGTCTCAGAAACCTGCTATTAGTGCATCATTTTTATGTGTTGTATGGAAACTTCCTAAAAGAATTAAGAATAATCAAATTTGAAAATTCTGTTACTTTATTCCAGGTGATTTCTTCCCAGAAGATTATAAAATCAAAGAAGAACCGGATCCAGATGTTAAGATGACTCAAGATGAAATAGATAAATTTGTAGAGCCCAAGAATGAGTTTTACGAAGATGATAAGGATAACGAGAAGGAGACAGTTGTAGAGAAGAAGGAACCATAGCATACGGCCGATTTGACTGATCCTTTAGTCATTTGACACATAAAGGGATACAAAAGATACAGACATTTGTTTATGTAACCTCTTTAGTGTGGTGATAGTTTAGTGATTAGTGCAATCGTTCAAAGTGAAGTGTAGTGACAACATTATCTGACCTGGCGATACACTGTCAATGTGGTTAGTATTCAGAAAATATATAATACCTGCTAAGCATCGGTTTCTGAGACTAAAATCTCTGTACAAAATATATCGTCATCGCTTACATGATCTTTGACAAAACAGAAATAACAATATGTTTTAAATGGAGATTTTGGTCTCAAAAATTCACAGTTATGCATACCCGTGAGTATGACAAGTTGTAGTACTTTTTTATTCTATTAGGAGATGCTAGCATCTATAGTAATTTATAGTCAAACAAGGATATGTATTCCAGTGATATGCCCTGCTATTGTCGTTAGTTCTGTCAGAAAATATGTAAAACCTACAGGGGAATAGAAAATGGCATAAAATAAAAAATTATATGACAGCTGCAGTATGAAAAGGACTACGTGATACGTTTTTGACATTGACAGGAGGGCGCTAGTGTGCTGTCTCAATTTAGTTTGACTTACGCCTATTGGGTTAGATATCCTTGTCAGTCTATATTTTATTTTAGCTCACCAGGTCAAATAAGTTTTTGACTATACCAAGAGAAAGGATAACTGGCAATACAAAAAAAAAATAATTTACAATTGAAAAGCAACAAGAAAGTATTACGAAAATGATATTTAATTATTAACTTTTGCATGAAATCGTCTGAAATTTTAATGATTGTTGCTCTGGTTTCTACACTCAGCAAGTCAATAAGCTATCACCATTTAGATATAAGTTTTTACAATAGAAATAGGTAAATAGGCATAATTATTGAAACTTTTATTATTTTAACAACATTGTATCATTTAAATATGGCAACATTATTATTGCGACAATTTTAGACCTATTATTTTTAATTTTATATCTAATTTTTATAGATTAGGAAACAATCCAATGCATTCAATTTCAATAATATTTTATTTTTTAATTTCATGACTTATTTTACTTTATTTTTTTTATTTTAGTAGACAGCCAGCATACTGTTGTTTTTTAATCACTTCTCACAAAAAAAACTATAAACATTGTATTTATTGCATATAAATTGAATTATTTTAATACATATGATAGTGTAAGTTACTGCAAGTGATTGGGTTATTTTAAGTGATACTATAATTTACTGTAGAGACAAAAACTTATTGACATCTCTCTCATTCTCTATGAAAAGACAGCGATGAGAATATGTTTTTAAAGGAATGTTTTAGTGGGAAAAACCTTTAGTGTGTTACATAAACAAAGTTAAAAGTAAAATGTGGATCAGTCAAATCGTTCTTAAAACTTCTTCAATATTTATAAGATAGTACTTAGTCTACAAAGATGTTATAAAAAATGTTGATAGAGTTTTTAGTAAGAAAATGCAATAGATAATTGACAGGAAATGTCATAGATAAGAATTTTAAGGTTAGTGGTTAGTTTTAATGGTAGAAATTGCTAGAAAAAATCGCAACTAGTTATATTATCAATAAGAATAGCCAAGGTGATTTAATTCGTGATCCCCTGACCATCAAGATGTAAACACAGGAGTTGGAACTGCTTGGCAACAAATGTATTTAATGTAGAGGGGTTTATACCATTAATATTTTAATGTAGCCATAGAATTATAACTCATACATATTTTACCTTTGGATTGATTATTTATACAAGTTTGATGTTCAATCGTAAGATGATTTTAGAAATGGCAAATTACAACAAAAATGTCCTTCGGAGACCTAACATGTCTCTTATGTGCTCCAAATACTCCATCTAGAGGTATCAATGTTAGAACTTGCATTATATAAAACAAAGATGATATATAACTTACTGTGTTAATGATCACGAAATAAACCTACAGTATATTAATATTTTTGTAGGCAAATCTGTAGCATCTTCCAGTAACTTTTTAAATATAAATTTGCTTCCAATTGTTAAAGACATGTGATTTAGAAAAGCTTACAAATTCACAACCTAATTTTAGATATAGGATATAAAATGTTTCATTCAAACCTTTTTATATAGTAATGAAAAGTTCACTATTATTTTATGTTAATAATTTTATTAGTGAATTATTTTATTCTTTGGTAATGTTCACAATTTTCTGTACTGGTTTTAATGTATTTATGGGTGATTAATAATTAATCAGGTTTTTATTTTATAGTTTTGAGTGTATTGATAATCGAATTAAATAATGTTTATATTATAAAACTTTTTTATCTCCCTAATGTAGTTAAATAATGACAAAGTTTAGGTTTTTTTTTCTTGGTGGATACTTTCTATCCACCTTCTGTTTTTCCTCTGACTCTGGGTGAGAGACCTTTTTTTAGCTTTGTAAACTTTGTTTACATACATTTGTAATTTATCATTGTTTGCTGCTTAGACAGAGTTTAGGTTATAAGTAGGAAATAAAATAAAAAAAACTTTTTCGTAAAATAACCTTATATTTATCTATAAGCGAAACACATAAAAATACATATTAAAGGCTAATAACCACCAAGCTTGATATCCAAGTTGTTTTCACATATGTATTTCTGCATATCGCTTATGTCCTCGGTAAAATCTACAGTGAACATCTGAAGGTGTTCGCAATGCTGTATCACTTGTTTAACTACCTCCTTTGATACTTCCAAAGTACAGTCCAACCATAGACAATTTAATTTTTTTAATTTACCTTTTTGTATCAACTGTAACAGAGTGTCATCAATATTTATTTTCGTTTGATATTTTAAAATCAACTTCTGTAAATTATCTGTGCAGTCAAGGAAGAATGTCAAAATACTGTGGATATTGTAGTTATCATTACCTATTGTCAAATTTCTGAGCTGTCTAAATATATTGTCGGGTTTTTTAAAATATCTGGGTGTGACTAAACATTTAGACTGGGTCATGAGACAAAGGGTGACTAGATTGGGACAGTGTACACCAATAGAGACTATCGCTTCTAAAGTTAGAGAATGTTCTATCTCCCAAAGAGAGAAATGGGTCAAATAACTTCCTTTGACAGCTAAGAGCCGTTGCATAGAGTCAGAGTAGAAAAAAAATGATAAATCTAAACGTGTTAATCTCAAATCACTTAATGCAAGTTGCTCTAAAATAGCATCTTTATTATGAGCTGATAGATGAGTGACGGATAGTTCCTTTAAATAGGGACAGATTTTAATTAATTTTTTGATACCCTCACCTGAAGCAAAGTGGCAATTGATTTTTTTTAAACTTAAAGGACCAATATCTACAACGGTTGTGATTAAAGTGGCTCCAATATCGCAAGATTCAATCCTCAACTCTTCTAAATAAGGAAGTTCACTGATCAACATTATAATGCCAGCTTGTGAAACGCATCGTCCTATTCTATTGGCTCGCTCGTTACGAGGTGGATCCATTGCAAGTATGCGTAACTGTTTTAAATTCACTATTGAATATAGACCAGCATCTGAAACGTTTCTAATTAAAACGGAAGCGTTGATAAGCGATTTGCCAATATCAACTTTTGAAACAATATTAATCTCTTCAAGTAGCAAGCAATTTGAACCGACAATTTGTAGAATTTCATCTGTACAGACAAATTTAAGATCTAGAACAACTAAGCGAGTGAAATTTGGGAGGTTCTGTATCCAAAAATGTTGTGGTATACCATTGTCTAGATCACATTTGCGGAAGACTGTCATTTTAGGATGTGTCAAAACATGAAGTTGTATTCGGGGATCACCACGATACTGGCAACAGGTTCTTTCTAAACAAAGAACATCGAACAACCTGAAAAAAAATGGAATAACTTAACAAATAAAATTTTAACTGAATTAATAGTTAATTTTTTTTAAATTAAATTTTATTGCCACATTAAATGTTAACTTAGGCCTTTCAATGTTTGTATTGTTTACGCTATTTATTTTGGATGCTAAAAATATTTCCAATTAATATATTTAATGGCAAAGCTACCGCTTTGAATAACAAAGAGACAAAAAGCAATATCATAAATACGGAGTTAATAAGGTACTGGTATTTATTTATTCAGTAGCTGTATTTTTTATAATTTCGTATGTTATTGTTAAAAATAAAATAAACGATATGGTAAACATTCCATTGATATCGAAAAAGAAATTATGGTAATAAATACCTGGCAGGTAGCATAGACATCAAATGGCATTTTAATGCATACGCCTCCCGTTCACAATCCCCAAATTTATTTTCTGGATAACTCTTTTCAATAACGTAACAAGCTGAATTAATTAAACTAATACAAGTCTTAACGCATAATTTGAACAAGGTATTGGGCTGTTTTCGAGGTGACATTTTAGTTTATGTATAAAAATTACACGTATTTAAAGTTAAGGGACAAATATGATATCTACAACAAAAGGTTTTCCATTTCACAACATGCAACAATTAATAAAAAAAACAAGATCACTTTTTATCGCCATTAGCCATTTCTAAAATTGACATTTATTGAACAAATGACAAGTGTGAAATGACATTTGACTAATTGTTGCCAAATGTATAGTAAAGAGTAAATAAAAGAAGAGCATTCATTTATTTACTCTGTGCACTTAATTTTATTTCAAAAAAAGATTTGGCATATTATAATTTTTGTTAGGAAAGTAAAATATTGATTTATTAATATTGACAAGTTAAAGACGTTTAATTTTTTATGTTGTCGGTTTTTATATACTTTACCGTGAGATTGCACTGCTGCAACTGCCATACAATTTTTTTTTCTAAGTGTAAGTGAGAGTAACAAACAATAATTTTGTAATGCAATCAAGTGTACCATTAAAATTTGTTTAACTTTATTAATTGGCTTGGATAAATTAAAGTTTGTAGAGCCTCGGAAGAAGGGAAATAAATGAGTTTTTAGTCAAACTTACAGGTTTTTATAAGTAGTAGTTTAACCTTATATAAAATACACAATAATTGATAAAACAATTGTAAGTGTTCTTAAGATTCCACTTTAACTTAACGTTATACCTTGTTTTGTTAAATAGGTACACTAATTTGTAAAATGTTTAGATATGTATCATCATGGTCTCTTGCGTAGTTAGTTGCGTAGTTACCTATTTACTGTCTGTAGTACAATGCGTTATTAAACTAAAATTAAAACGCAAGTAAGATTAGATTATAGATGAACAATCGAAATTCAAATAAAAGATTATTCATTGCATTTTATTTTAAAAGAAAACCATTGTCACATACATAGTTGGAACCAGTAATACCTTTTGCTTTATCACTAGCTAAAAATAAAATCAAATCTGCTATCTCTTCTGATCCTGAAACTCTTTTTAATGCTGTCAAAACTGATTGATCCGTGAAACCAACCAAACCGGAATTTTCTTGAAAATCTGTTACTACTGGGCCAGGACTGACTATATTTACTCGTACTCCGAATTCCGATAGTTCTGAAGCTGCACATCGGGTGAAATGATCAAGACCTGCTTTAGACACACAATAAGAAGTTAATATTGGTGATATTGGCATTAAAGACCCTAACACACTTGACACATTTATTATATTTCCCTTCGTTTTAATTAAATGTGGTGCTGATAATGCAGTTAAATGCATTGCAGCTCTTAAATTTGTAGCAATTACAGCATCGTAACTTGACATTAAATTCCCATCGAGTATGGTTCCAGATTTTGAGAATCCTGCATTATTCACCAGAACGTCAAGTCGTCCGAACTGCTTAATAGTTTCTTCAATAGCTCTCTTTGCTTCTTCATCTTTTGATATATCAGCTTTAACAATTAATGTTTTTTTACCGTATTCTTCACATTTTTGGTAAATATTTTTTAATTTGGTTTCGTTTCGTCCATTGATTACAACGTTTGCACCTTCTTTAGCAAATTCTATAGCAGTAGCTGCTCCAATTCCTGAACTTGCACCACTGATAAAAACAACCTTGTCTGCGAAAGCCATTTTTAGTCGACTTCAAAAAGGAGGAGGTTATCAATTTGTCTGTATGTTCTTTTTTTTAGTGAATCTACGTAGCAGTTACATAAGCTAATGTGTCAAATGTAATTGTTATTTTACTGTCTTTTATCTTAAGTAGGGGTATTAGTGTGACATTAATAAGATAAAGTGCGTTTTTGCAAAAAGCTGTGTGTTATCGCAATTCGGCTACAATTTCCTTATACCCGATATAAAGTTAATTGTCTTGTTATTCGAGAATATTCTTTTTAAAACGAATAATTTAGTGTACTATTTTTAATTGTTAACCTAAGTATTGGATCTGCGGGAGCTACAAGCGATGGACTGGCAGGAGAAGGCGCAAGACAGGCGACTTTGGCGATCTCTTGTGTCGGAGGCCAAGACCCACTTTGGGTCGATGCGCCAGCGGAGTAAGTAATTAACCTAAGTATTGACTTGCAGTTTGTATTTTTATTTAATCAGATAACCATTGTCCGATACATAATTAGATCCTGTAATACCTTTAGCTTTATCACTTGCTAAGAATAAAATTAAATCAGCAATCTCAATTGAATCAGACACTCTCTTTAAAGGTGTATAATTTGCACGCACATTTCTATTACCTTCTCCCAGTCCAGCATTCTGTCTAAAATCTGTTTCTACAGGACCGGGGCAGACTGCATTCACACGAACACCTAATCCAGACAGCTCCAAAGCCGCACAACGAGTAAAATGATCAAGAGCAGCTTTGGATACACAATATGAAATAATTTGTGGTAAAATTGGACAACTACTACCAGCTACACTTGAAACATTTATTATATTTCCTTTACTTTTAATAAGATGAGGTGTTGCTAACTGAGTTGAATGCACCGCTCCTCTCACATTGGTAGCCATTACAGAATCGTAACTTGATAATAAGTTTCCATCAAGTATACTTCCAGATTTAGAAAACCCTGCATTATTTACTAGAACGTCAAGTTGTCCGAACTGTTTAATCGTTTCTTCAATAGCTGCTTTTGCTTATTCATCTTTTGATATATCAGCTTTAACAATTAATGTTTTTTTACTGTATTCTTCACACTGTTGATAAACATTTTTTAATTTGGTTTCGTTTCGGCCATTAATCACAACATTTGCACCTTCTTTAGCAAATTCGACGGCCGTAGCTGCTCCTATTCCTGAACTTGCACCACTGATAAATACAACTTTGCCTACGAAAGCCATTTTACTGTTTCGATCCAGAAGACACTTTATAATCTGAGCATGAAACTAGTCTTATCTATATAGGTTATGAATAAGGATAAGTAACTATTATGAAAATAACACGATAACAAATCTTTATCATTACTGGTTTCACCCCTCGGCTTTGCTCTTTATTATTTTTTCAATGACAGATCGTTAAAGTACTGTGAAAGATGCAAAAAATTGTTTCTTTTTGGAACTCGGAAACTGTTTCTGTAAAGTTATTGTTGACTAGCGTGCACCTGCGAATTCGGTTCGGTATTAAAAAAATAAGTTAGTCTATGTTATCCTATGTGTTATTGTAAATTTATGTCTGTTCCAAATTTTAACCAGATACGTTCAGCTATTTTGGAATTACGTGGTTAACATCCATCCATCCATCCAAGTAATTAGTCCTTTTAAAATCTATCTTAAGATTCAATATTGTTGGTACAGTTTAGAAAAAGTTAAAGTTAAAAAAAGGATACGAAAACTCCAAGTGTTGCAGAAATATTATAATTGTACGTACGTATACATAGTAACAATTTAATACACTAATTAATACATTTTTCTTATTTAAGACAATATTACTGTTATTTAATTAGACAGCCATTGTCGGACACATAATTAGAACCAGTAACACCTTTAGCTTTATCACTGGCTAAAAACAAAATCAAATCGGCAATTTCAATTGATTCAGATATTCTCTTCAAGGCTGTAAGATTTTCCCGTTCAGTAATATCTTCCCCTACTCCAGCATTTCTTCTAAAATCAGTTATAACTGGTCCAGGACTAACAGCGTTAACACGAACACCATATTCAGATAATTCTAATGCAGCACAACGGTTAAAATGATCTAAAGCTGCTTTAGAAACGCAGTAAGAAATTAATTGTGGCTTCACTGGCATCGAACTTCCAGATACACTGGATACATTTACTATATTACCTTTTGTTTTGATTAAATATGGTGCAGCCAATGCTGTTAAATGCAATGCCGCTCGTACATTTGTACCCATCACTTCATCGTAACTTTTTAATAAATTCCCATCAAGTATGCTTCCAGGTTTCGTAAACCCTGCATTGTTTACAAGAATATCCAGCCTTCCAAATCGTTTAATCGTTTCATCAATAGCTGCTTTTGCTTCATCATCTTTTGATATATCAGCTTTTATAATTAAAGGTTTTTTTCCATGTTCTTCACATTGTTGTGAAACTTTATTTAATTTAGTTTCGTTTCTTCCATTAATCACAACGTTTGCACCTTCTTTTGTAAATTCGATAGCAGTAGTTGCTCCAATTCCTGAACTTGCACCACTAATGAATACAACTTTATCTTTAAAACTCATTATGATAGCTACACTTCAGACACAGTTTGGTACGTTATAAACAATGTATTGAATTGCATTTAAATAAAAAAAATAACTATTTATCTATTGTTATTAATGCTATCTAAAGTATCATTAACCTCGTTAAGTCATATCTACGTGTCAATACTCGTACGGGCAACATTTGCTTTATCTGTATTCTACTTGAAACGAGATATAGATAACATAGATAAAATTATCTTAAATGTTATTTAACATTTTAATTATATTAAATTATATTAACTTTTTATGGATATTTTAATAACGGTATTTGCAATTGATTTAAATCATTATTAAAATAGCGCCGAGACTGAGATTCGTGTGTGTGGCGCCATCTGTGCTAGAATAACAGATTTATAATAATGAATTGTCACTAGGATTGTCTTTGGTATTATTAACTTGTACAGAATGTTGGTAGCATGACTCAGTTCGCAAGACGTGCCAATAGCTTAAGTTAAATGGTCCAGATTATCTATTAAGTGTTACAAGAAATAATAGTAAATTAACTAAAAATGTTTAATATAAAAAAGCTAGTTCAAAGTACAGCCAAGTTCTTGACTTACTTATACTATAAAGTGTTGCAGTACATTAGCAAATGTAGATTATTTAGTTTATCGTTTCAAAAGAAAGCTGTTAACCAAAAAAATTAAGATACCCTTTGCTTTATTAATGGTTACAAACAATTCTCTCTGCAAATATTCAGTTCAAAAACATATATGATTTTTACTTTAGTTACACAGTTACTCATCCTACTAATTTAAACTAAGACCACATGCAAAATTTTAAACTGTCGGAACCATCTGCTACAGTCCTTGTTTGGTGTCCCTTATTGACTAAACAATTTAACGTAGTACGAAAAGTTGCATTGTTTAATATATCAATATAAGTATAAGCCTTATTAAAGTAAGTAGATTTTAAAGAAATAAGGTAACAAACATTTTTATTATAAACTTTATTGGTTCAAAATATAAATCATTCTTACAATGTTTCAAGTTTCTCTTAGTGAACTAAAAGGAAGCCGTTGTCAGACAAATAGTTGGACCCGGTTATACCTTTTGCTTTGTCACTTGCTAAAAACAATATTATATCAGCGATCTCAATGGATTCTGACACTCTATTGAGTGCAGTAGGTATAGTACGATCAGCCATCAAATCTTCTAAACCAGCATTTATATGAAAATCAGTTGTCACCGGTCCAGGACTAATAGCATTCACTCTTATTCCATGGTTAGACAATTCCAATGCTGAACAACGTGTGAAATGATCAAGTGCTGCTTTTGACACACAATATGGCGTAAACTGCGGTAACAAAGGTACAGCTGTAGCCGCTACGCTGGATATATTGATTATATTCCCTTTTGTTTTAATCAGATGAGGCGCTGCTAGTACTGTGAGATGCATTGCACCTCTAACATTAGTTGCCATAATTTCATCATAACTTGCCATTAAATTTCCATCAAGTATGCTTCCTGATCGAGAGAATCCTGCATTGTTCACTAAAACATCTAGTTTCCCAAATGTTTTAATCGTTTCATCAATAGCTGCTTTTGCCTCTTCATCTTTTGATATATCAGCTTTAATAATTAAAGGTTTCTTACCGAATGATTCACATTGTTTGTAAATGTTCTTCAATTTTGTTTCGTTTCTTCCGTTTATAACGACGTTAGCGCCTTCTTTAGTAAATTCTATAGCCGTAGCTGCTCCGATACCTGAACTCGCGCCACTGATGAAAACAACTTTGTTTGAAAAAGTTTTGCCAGTCATTGTTAAATAGTGTAGTAGTCTATCGCGTTAACGATTGAATTATTTGAGTTTTTCTTTTGTCTTTTATATTATATTGTAAAAACCACTTCAGATATACCATAATATAGTTAACAAGTGCCACTTATTAATAATATCTTGTTAACAATAACTATTGCGGAAGCCGTTAGAAAATATTTTCAAGGACATTGCTATTGCAAAGGCCGAGCTCAACTATACTCGTAAATAAAACTGTGGGCCTAGCATGAATATTTGTGACATCCACCATCGACAAAATTTGTATTGAAATTTGTGTTCCATCAGGCGTAAAGTATACCAAAAATGTCATACCAATTTTGACATTAAAAAGGATACGAAGACGTTTGTTGCAAATATTCGTGCTAGACCCACTAATACCTATATGTACTACGATAGGTCGACAGTGAAATCCCAGAGTTATTTAGCTTTATGTAGGCTACCTAATTTTCAGTATAGACCTGTAATACAACACCTAGAACCTTACCAAAGCTCTCATTCGTAGAGTTAAATAAATAACAGAAGAATAATACATTTCAAATATTTGAACAATTGAAAGCGAACGTTGGTATGAAAGTTGGGTAAGAGCATTTTGACGTGTGCGAAATAAATCATAAGAACGTGAGAACTGATCCAAATGTTTCCTTGAGCTCTTATTCAATAACAAAAGACCATTTGTTTTGGCCTCACGTGCCGGAAACGGTTTTTAAGATATTTACAGACTTTTCATATTAAAAACCGTAATACTGGTAACATACTTTTTGATTCACAGGTTTCTGTGATCCAATTATTTGTAATTCTATTGTGTTGAATCAATTCACGATATTATGTATTGATGATTAACTTCTTTGGGCAAACTTAATTTGATTTTTTGTAAATACTGGCAGTCGCTAGGGACTCCGTCCGCGCGGATTTAAAAAAAAAACTTAGTAGTACATCTATGCCAAATTTTATCGAGATCCCTTGAGCACTTCTGAATATACCTTCTAAGAAAAATCCATCCATCCAAACAATCAAATTTATAATCTTAGTAAAATTTACTATTGTTTGAACAAAATTTGATTACTTGTATACTTTCAATTAAGTACAATTAATTGTTTTAAAATATAAACTGAAGAAATAATCAATGCAGACCTAAAGTTCAATATTTTTCTTTCATTTCAAATTGCGTGTACTCTAACTTTGGCAAAGAACCTTTGGATTTTCGTTTCACTTTACGAAAACGACGCCTTCGATCGAAAACAAAATTGAATTGGAATCTACGAAGACAAATTCGAAGAAATATTTTTGCACTCACGTTTCAATTACTTTTTGTCTTACCAATATTATAAATGCGAATGTTTAGTTGGATGTTTGTTTGGACGTATATCAAGAATGGTTGCACCGATCTCACTGAAATTTAGAATACATGTAGAGCATAGTCTGGAAGAACACACAGCCTACTTATTAACTTTTTTTAATCTGTGCGGTTCGTCCGATAGCTATTTTATAATAAATATAACACAGGTAAACAGTATCCAAAATGATTTTGTTTACCAACATAACGGAAAAACAATTTGTTATGACGTAATAAGGAAAACATTCCAATTGAAATTTTATTTAACAGATCCAATTCGATAGGTACACAATTTCCTCGTGTTTACTTGATGATCAAATTAATTGTCTGATGTATACAGTTATCTCCTTTTTATTTCCAACTAGCTATCGCCTGCAACCTCGTCGAATTAAAAAAACCTATTAAGTAACCTGTGTGTTCTTCCAGACTTTGTTGTATATGTATGCCAAATTTCATCAAAATCGTTGAGCCATTCCGGAGATACCTTCAAATAAACATGCATCCATCCATCCAAATATTTGCATTTATAATATTAATTAGAAGTAAAATGGTATAGATGAATGGATAGATATTTGCTAGAAGGTTTCTTCAGAATACATTTGGCCTCGATATAGAACATAGTCTGGAGGAACATATGCTACTAAGTTTTTTTAATAACGAACGGAGTCGCGGGCTACAGCTAGTTAATTATGACTCAGGTTTTCCTTGTTCAATGAGCTTAAGCTATTTAGCTGTGAGGTGATATCCATCATAATATGAGCACAAAATTGATCGTTGTCTATTCGTTAAGACTTAAATTAGTAAGTTAATGACATGCCCTGTTTATTACTAACAAGACACAACCTTGTTAGAAACACGCAAACAATTTTTGGAAAATAAACCTCATGACTTATAACAGAAAGTTCTATTTAGTTTGATGAAATTGTTTAAGGATTTTCTTCCGTGTTTTGATGGCTCGTAAAATGATCACTTAATGTTAAGAGGTTCTTACAAGTGATGCATGGAAGATTAGCTATCAGCCGGTCTTTAGCACGCCATCTACATTTGTGTAATGATAAAAATTGTTTGTACATATTTTTGAATAGATTCAAACTGGCATGTTTAAAATGTATCATTAAAATACAACGAAAGGTTTATGTCGTAGTTAATAATATTTAAGTAATAGATTTGAAGTCTTCCAAAGCATAATGTTTGTTCGCCTGCGGTGAATATTTTGACCTTTTCATTCTAACTAAATAGTCACGTAAATTCAAGTCACGTCAGCGTCTATTCAACAAGATAATTGCGCAGTTAATGGATAAAATGTTACTTTTAATTAAGTTTTGGAATTTTCTTAATTTTCCATAGGTTTGAATTTATTTCGAAGTTTTTATTTTTATTTTAAATATAATTGTGCATGTAATAACGTTAACAGTGTTTCACGGTATGATAACATTATATTAAAGATTTTTTTTAATTTTCTGATTGAGAAAATTTGTAATCTTGCAGATACACAAATGTTATATAAAATAACATTCTAATCTTACAAACATTACAAATGCGAATATTTATTATAGATACATGGAGGAATGTTTATTTGAAGTTATCTCCAGAATGGCTGCATGGATTTCGCTGAAATTTGGCATAGATGTAGGACATAGTCTGCAAGAACAAATAGGCTTAATTAAGTTTTTTTTTTATTCCGCGCGGACAAGTTTTAACATAATACGAAAGAAAAGAAAAGAAACTTCCAAAGTTATATACAAAGAATTTATTTATTAAGGAAAAATAAATAAAAGAAACCAAATAAATACAACTGAATGCTTATTTTATTCGACACTCTTCAGATGTCTTGAAAAATGTGAATTCTTATTCGGTTTTCCTTACGAGCCCTTTTGTATCGAGTGTGCGAATAATTTGTCTTGTATTTTTTGCTTGTTAGCGAAGTAATATTGTACCTAAATGTTTAAGTTTCAGGTGACCCTTTATACCAACGGATTGCTGATAAATACCGTAATTGAATATCGAAAGGCCAAAGCAGCGTATATCGGGACCCCGACTGGCTGCCGAACCATCGTCGGCCCAGGTACCGCTGGCGAGACGCCTTAGAGCTTGATCTGCGGGAGCTATAAGCGATGGACTGGCATGATAAGACGACAGACGACTTTGGCGATCTGTTGTGTTGGAGGCCAAGACCCACTTTGGGTAGATGCCAGTGGATTAAGTGAGTAATATGATCTTATACTAGTTCATATTAATAAAAGGAGTTTAACCGCGGGTTTCTGACAACATAATCTCTGTATAAAAAATATCGTCACACCTGTCTTTCATTTTTAATAAAACAGTGATAACAATATTTTAAACGGGATTTTAGACTTAGAAGCCCACGGTAACAAAGATAATTTATGGCGCGATAGTGAGTGACAGTGTTGGCCGGGGTCGTCCCAGACAAACTTATACTGTCAAGATTGATTAAATACTTAAGAAGGGCTGTATTAAGAGACCGCGACAAATGTCCGTGCTCTTTGCCTACCCTTCCATGTGACGAGCGTGAGTTATGTTGTTGTTGGTTAATATATTATTATATAAATATGCAAGCACGCCTGCAAACTGTTTTGCGCAATCTTGTTAGTATCACCATAATATAATTTGGATGAGGTGATGAGGAGTTGTCACATCACACTGTGGCAGAGAAATATAAAGAAAGTTTGTGTCATGTTCAATCACATTCTAAAAGCATAACTTGAGGTCAATGAGGTGATAAAAATTGGTAATTTATTGTCAAAGCTGTCCGCGCCCGCAACTCCGTCCGCGCGTAATTAAAAGAAAACTTTAGTAAGTACCCTTTGTGTTCTTCTAGACTATGCCTTACATCTGTGCCAATTCATCAAAATCCGTTGAGTTGTTCAGGAGATACCTTCAAACAAACATACATCCATCCAAACATTCGCATTTGTAATATTAGTAAGAAGGCCAAACTGAAAATAGAATTCAATAAAGTCGGTTAAAACAAAAGACAATTAGTGCAACTCACTTTACTACACTCGTTACAAACATGAGTATTTCCTGACTTGGAAAGGGTATCCTCGGAGTGCTATTAGCCCCTTTCTTTGCAACATCTTTAACCTCGTGTTGGCGGAATTTTCCAAGTAAAGACTTTCTTTATGCGGGCAATGTTAAACATATTCGTTTACAGAAACAGAGTTGTTTATTACTATCTACTCTTATGACACTGAAATATGCAAATTAAAATACTAAGGTGATATGTATGTAGTTTAATATTTTTTAATTCAAAGCGTCAATAGCCTAATGGTTAAGAGTACAGATTTTCGATCACGAGGTAGGGCGTTCGAATCCCGGCATTCGACTATTGTCGTAAACCATATCCTAGCACAAGTCTAGAGCTTAGTTGGAATGGTAAAAGGTATATTAGTAGATTTAAAAAAAAATCTGGTAATGTTTAAAATAAATCCTTGTACAGGAGACGAACAGGGGATTTTGGGACTTTTTCGAGTGTGGCAAGTAAATATGTGAGAGGCAAAAATCACTATGGTCATTTAGATAAGGAATATGTGCAAAAGAATATGGACCAAGAGTCTGTAGATGTAATAACCTTTATAAAAATACATAAGAGAGGAACATTGTGCCCTATATATAATGTCATTGTAGTCTAAACACGCAGAAGTAAGTTTTTTGCGCTATTTCCTACAATATTTCCTA